TCAACTCTGGAATTCCAAGTGAGTCCCAACACCTGTTAAAAGATAATTTTTAAAGAATTAGGAGAAGGAGGAAGAGGAGATAAAATCATGACTCATATGAATGTAAAATCAAAATGTCTCAAAGACTTTATATAACTCATTTACTAATGAAGAAAACAGTAAAGCAGTACAACTCATTCAAAGGAGAATTCAAAACACACATACATATGTATTCCAACAGGAATGCTGAAATAAAATTTTAATATATGCAAAAGTGATTCATATCTACAGGGAAATGATATATCTTACTATCTGCATTTCTGTCACAGAAAATTTGCATTTCTATGGACAAGAATCATTTGCATAACTATAAGTTTGCTATAATTTAGAGGTGCAAAAATAGCTCAAAGAAGATGTGACGCATAGATGACCTGGCACAATAATCTTGTCTTTTCTGCCCACTTCAAAGTCTTACATGTTTTTCCCATCAGATTTCATTGGCCAGAGATAAAATCAAACAACACTCAAGGGCAGCTATATGGTTGGGTTATCTGCTTTTCTATGAACCATTGCTTCTATAACTCTTTGGGCAGCTTTTGCAGATGGATTCAGTGTCACTTCTACTTATTGGTACCATTGTAGCAGGGCTTATTGCTGATTAAAGGACATGGTTCAGGGCCAAGGAGCTTAATCCCAAGCAGGGAAAGGAAGGTGCTTGGGTAAGAAAGCTGCTGATGTGGGGAGTCAGAACTAAGTGAGACAAGAAGAGTGTCTGTGCAGGGCAGAGGAGCTATCAAGACAATAACTACCTTAAAGACAACAGAATGCAGGCTTCTCCCTGTCAGAAAAAGCAGCAATAGAAGAGTAAAGGAAGAAAACGAGATAAAACTTACAGTGTTGGGTAGAAATTTGAGATGAACTCCTAGTTTTCCATATCTATAGATATATTAAGAAGTAAATATAGACACCAATGCATATGTATAAAATCACACCTATAGATAACGTAGGTATGAATAACTAACCTGTTTCCCAAAAATAAGACTGCATGATTTTAGAAGAGACATTAAGACACAATAGGGCTCATTTTCAAGGAATGTCTCTTCTAAAATCATGCCAGAACTTGTTTTCTAGGTAAGTCTTTTTTATTATTATTAATTATATTGGTACATTTCAGGTATACAATATAATGACATTCATCATTGGAAATTTGCACCTTTACATAATCTCTCTTGGTTCTTATTTTTCCCCCTTCCCTTGCCCTCCCTTCAACCCCTCCATTCCTCCCTATCTACAAAGACTTTGTTTCCATTTTTTCATTTTCTCATATTAATTCCATTCCCTTCTTTCTTTTCCCCTAGCCCTCCAATTTCCCCTTCCCCTTTGCCCCTTTTCTTCCTATTTCACATTATCTATTATACCTTTGAGTCCTTATTTACACTTTCCTTTTCTCACACTGGAGAAACTATTCGGTATTTACACATGTGTGTCCTGTTTATTTCACTTAAGACTAACGCCTCAGTGTGCACACATTTAGCTATGAATGTCTCTAGTTTCTTGTTTTTTGTGGCTGAGTAATACTCCATTTTATTAAAAAAAATTTCTTTATCCAGTCTCCAGTTGATAGGCAATTGGGTTGTTTCCAAGTTTTAGCTATCATGAATTGTGCCACTGTGAACATGAGTGCACATATGTCACTATGGTATGATTCTTTTAATTCTTTGGGGAAGATCCCCAGCAGGGAAATAGTTGGGTCAAATGGGACTTCTAGTCCTAGTTCTTTGAGGTATCTCCATACTGATTTCCATAGTGATTGCACCAGTTTACACTCCCACCAGCAATGGAGTAGGGTTCTTCTTTCCCCACAGCCCCGCCAGCATTTGTTATTGGTTGATTTCATGATAGCAGTCATTCTTTGTGGGGTGAGGTGAAATCTCAGCATTGTTTTCATTTGCATCTCTCGAATGACCAGTGATGTTGAACATTTTTTCCTATGTTTATTTGCTCTTTCTACTTGTCTGAGAAATGTCTGTTCATTCAGATGCTCATTTTTGGATTGGGTCTTTAAATTTGGGAGGTCTGGTTTTTTTAAGTTCTTTATAGATTCTAGATAGTAGACCGTTGTCTGAGGGACAGCTGGTGAAAATTTTTTCCCGCATCGTGGGTTGTCTCTTCACTCTGTTGGTGGTTTCTCTTGCTGTGCAGAAGCTTTTTAGTAAGAGACCCCACTTGTTGATTATTTGTACTAGTTTTGTGGTGGTAAGTGGACCTGGTGTTGCACTGAGTCCGATGGCCCATGTGAGGAAGCTCTTGGGTAAAGGACGGAAATGAAGAGAAACGAACCAAATTTCTCCTTACACCTTACCATTCCCCAGAGGGTCTCGATGACGGCACTGCCAACTTCCCAGCTGCTCAAGCCAGTTCCACAAATTTCATCTATTCTGCTGCCGAATTGCAAATCACATGCATCCCCTTTTCTCACCTCAAGCCCTAGACTAAGCTCCCTCATCTTTCCCAGATCATCACGAAGTCTCTTAACTGGAAGCTCACCTTCCGCTCTTGTCCCTGGACTCTTCCCCCAGGCCCCACCTCTAGCAGCTAGAATATTGTTACCAAAGCACACACACTCCCATGTGGGCCTTGGCTTAAGTCCTTCCTCGGCTTCCCTCTATATTTTTTTTTTCAATACTACATGTTTGCATTACATAATGACTACAGTCACTGTGGGAAGGCTGTACATGTACATCACACATCTTAATTCATTTTCCCCCCTTCCCTTCCCTCCCTGCTCCCTCTAAATCTTGTTCCCCTTCCTATTTGGAAAAGCTCTATTTCTATTTTTTTACTTCCTATTTCCTAAAAAATCCCTTCTTTCTTTCCTCCTTCCTCTGTGTCTTGCTTCCCTTTCCATTTGAAAATGATCTCTCTTCTTTCCATTATCTATCCTTTATTTTGCTCTTTATTTATATTTGGGGGTTGTCATATAAGAGAAACCATTTCATATTTAAACTTGTGTGTCTGATTTATTTTACTTAACATTATAGTCTCCAGTGCATCCATTTACTTAAAAATGCTTGAAGTTTATCCTTCTGTATAGCAGGTGTATATCCAAATGTATCACATTTTCTTTATCAATTCATCTGTTGATGGGCATATAAGCCATTTCCAAGATTTAGCAATAATGAATTGTACTGCTATAAACATGGATATACATGTGTCACTGTGATAGGATTAATTTAACTCTTTAGGAAAGATTACGTGGAAGGGAAGAGCGGGGTGAAATAGAAATTCTAGTTTTAGTTTTTCTGAAGAATTTCCATACTGATTTCCATAGTGGTTGTACTAGTTGACACTCCCACCAGCAGTGCAGCAGGGTCCCTTTTCCCCCACAGCCTGGCAACCATTTGTTATTTTTTGATTTCTTGATGATAGCCGTTCTTTCTGGGGTAAGATGTTATCTCAATGATGTTTTAATTGGCCTATCTCTAATGGCCAGCACTGCTGAGCATTTTCTCATATATTTATTGGGCATTTGTACTCTTTCTGTAAAATAACTAGACATTTTGACTCTCTATTTTTAATCAGGTCTTTTATTTTAAGGGTTTAAAATGTTTTAGCTCTTTATATATTCTAGATGTTAGTCCTCTGTCTACGGAATAGCTGGTAACCTTTTTTTCCCATTCTGTAGGTTGTCTCTTCACTCTGTCAGTTGTTTTGCTTTGCTGTGCAGGAGCTGTTTAATGGGATGTGACCCTATTGTTGGTTCTCAGTATCACTTCTTGGGCCGCTGGGGTTCTGTTCAGAAGGTGCCCATGTCTTCCAGAGTGGTACCTATTTCATCTTCCCGTGTTGTTTCTGTTTTAGCATTTAGATCTTGTATCCGTTCTGATTTTAGTTGAGGACAGGTGAGCCATTTGTGCCTAGACTCCACCTTCTGCATGTGGCTATCTCATTTTCCCAGCACCCTCTATGAGAGAGGCTGCCTTTCCTCCAGTGTGTGCCCCTCTCCGTTTTAAATAAAACCCAGCCTCCTCCTCTCCGTCCACAGAGCCCTCTCCCTCCTTAGGCCCAGGCGCGCCTCTCCTGCTCCGCCACTGCGGCCTGCTCTGAACCCCATCCCCGTCCCACGGGCCACTCCACACCACCTCCACCTCTCTCCACCTCCCTCGGTGGCACAGCTGACTTCCTCTCCTCCCTTCAAGCCTCTTTTGGCAGAGCCCCTCTGAGGACCCCTCCCTTTATAAAGCCCCACACACAGTTTCTGGTTCTGCTCTCTCTTCCCTTTTGCACCTCTCAGTTTGCTGGGCATGTTGGTGGCTTTGTTCACTCGACTTCCTCAGCAGCTGCGACCTGGGCCAGAGGGGACCCCAGTGCAGTGCTGGCCTGAGGGTCAAATCAGAGCCATAAGTACAGACTGCTTTCCTGCTGCTCTGTGTTCTCTTCCTCTGAGTGCAGCCCATAGCAAGGATGCAATAAATCCCTGACTTTAAATTGCTAGTTGGAAGCTTTTTGTTGAAGAGGGGAACTGAGCTGACCTGTAAACTATGGGCAGGCTGTTTTGTTTTGTTTTTTAAGAGAACCAAAAGAAGAGGGATAAGCCAGAGAGGTATGGTGCCCTGCACCTAAAATCCCAGTACTTTAGAAGACAGAAGCAGGAGAATCAAAAGTTCAAACTCAGCCTGGGCAATTTAGGGACTTAGCGAAACTTGGCAAAAATAAAAACTATGAGAAGGGTTGGGGATGTCGCTTAGTTCAAAGGTCCTAGGCTCAATCCCTAGTACAGCATAAAGAAGGGATGGTGAGAACTTTCCAAACAACACAGCAAGAATAAAAGCAGAGAGCCAGAGCCTGCGTTCTCTGGAATCCTGGAAAGAGCAGCCTAAGAGGTGCAGGCCTCGGAAGGCGATGTCAGGAGAGCAGTGAAGAGGTGAGAGCGGTATCCAAGCTGAGGGCTAGGCCGCGGGCAGCCGGCGCTGGCCTCCTGTGAGCTCCCTCACCCAGCGCCCGCCCTCTCTCCCTCACAGTCTCCCGCGGGCGCGCGCTGGAGGCCGCCAAGTGTCCCGTGGGCTTCTTCCCCTGCGGGAACGTCACCACCTGCCTGCCCCAGCAGCTGCACTGCAACGGCGTGGACGACTGCGGGAACCGGGCCGACGAGGAGAACTGCGGTAAGTGAGCCCAGGGCCAGGCCGAGGGCCGGGCCGGCCAGGCTGACCGCTCTGCCTAGGGAGCAAAGTGGGCCGAGCGCAGGATGCGGGCTGGTGGTACACTCCGATCGTTTGCTTAAAACAGCCATTCCTAAAACGAATCCACCCTTCTCTGGGATTTCAGGAAAGCGGTGGCTGGGCCTACAGCAAGTGCTTCAGCCCGACAAACCTGCCCAGGTTGTGGCCTGGAGACAGAAAAGTGTAGAAATTCAGAATAGGGTTCTGGAGCTAGATTTCCCAGGTTCGAACCTGGATACCACATTCACCAATTTCGTAAGGGTCAGAATATTTCCTAACCCCTCCATGCCTCAGTTTGCTCCCTTTGTAAAAGAGTTTGATGACTGTACCTATACTGTAAGAATTTGGGACAATTAACTAAAAAAAACCCTTAGAAAGCTTCAAGCATAGGGCAGATGATAAGCACTACATGTAAAGTTCCTCTTTCTTTTGTTTACTAAAACTAGGGAAGAAAAGTGAGACCTCCTAAGAAGGAAAACAATGTGTAGTTATAACTTAGCTATCATTCAAGCAACAACCTTCTAAGGCCTGACCTTATAAACCCAGCAAGTAAGGCTGCTAACCAACATGAATTCCTGGGGAAGTAGTATTCAGTTGGGGTTTTGTTCAAATTGCTGAAACCTCGAAAACACAAATTTATAAAAGACCTTGAATTTCTCAGAGCTAGCAAAATACATTTTTGATCAGTAACGTAAAATAACAAGGTCAATCACCCCTTGGGAGATATACCAGTATTTGTGGAGGACAAAAGCATATACAGTACTGTTAGTATTCCATGAGCCACATGGATGCACCCCCAGGAGGAGCTGCTTCGGCCTTGGGTGTTGCAGGCTTGTTAAGGCCCTACATGAAGGCGTTAAACCTCTGCGAAGATAGAGTAGGACGAAGACCGCACTTAAAATTCCCCAGCCGTAGGGCACCTGTGCAGAACTTGAACCAAAAGGAATCTAAACTGGTTATTTCTTGTAAATGCCTCTGGTAATCAAAAATGAAATGTGAATCATCCTCCTAAAATGTTACAGTGACCACTTTTAATCCATCCACTGCTGTGCAGGATGCCTCATTGTAATAATCGTAAAGATTCAAGAACTTTGCCATTTTTGCTCTGTAAACATCCTATACTACACATCCTTGGGCTCCTTGCCACCTGGATTGAGTCTCCCTGATAGCTACACTGTACAGTCTCTTATTGGATGACAATAAACTTTATTTCTTTGTGCTGATGATCGAGCCCAGGGTCTCATGCCCACTACACGAATGCTCTACCACTGAGCAACAACTCAAGCCCCACATTTTTACTTTTCTCAAGACCCCAATTTTTTTCTCAAGGCCCCAATTTTTCACTTCTCTGTCTCAGTCAGATTATATTGTTGGCACGCCTCAGTTCGGATCACGGCCTCTAACTAGTGGCAATAATTCAAGAGTAACCATGCTATCTAACTAGTGAGCTAAAGGTACAATTTTCTTTGATTTGAAGAACTGTAAATATTTCTTTAAAAAATAACACCTTGCTGAAATAACTGAATACTATATGATCTTTAAAAAAAAAAAAAACTATGGTAAAGCGGTGTTCTGCACCCTACCGTCCACTTCTCTCTCGAAATGCTGGCGATTCAGAGTAGCAGGGGGACAGAGAAGGCCCCAACAACTGAAATGGTTGCAGGAAGTAGAAAGAAAGTAGAAAGTACCTGCTTCAAATTCACCACCAAAAGTAGGTTCTCAATGGAGAAATGTGGGGAACTCTAGCTGTAGTACTGTTTCAAGAAACCAAGTAACCAAGCAGCAATCCTTACAGTTAATGACCCTTAAAGTCCGGTATTCCACAGTCAACAATTCAGAAGGAAACAGTAAAACATTGGGAGTTAGAGAGCAAACTTGGGGGACTGGCTTAAATTCTAGCAATGAAGGGAAATGTTTCTATAAAACAGACACAATCAGGGTCCCTGTGTCCATGAGTTGTCAAGAGGACTCAATCCGATAATGTACATAGGATGTTCAGCAGAAGACAGGTGGACACGCTGAGTGCTGTGTGCACCAAAATTCATACACAGAAATCCCCACCCCGTGTGTGCTCCCAGTCATCTGGAAATAGAATGACTTTCCCTCTGTTCAAAACCTCCACTCAGCCAGGTGACATGCTGCATCCCTGCCTGAGTGGGCAGGAGCTCTCCGGGAAGGATAGCAAAATTTCATCACCATCGTTAGGCTCCAGGTAATGAAATTTATAGTGCTGAGTTATTCCTGCTTGCCTCTCGTTGCTTTGTTTTTCCTTGCCAGCTGCAATTTTTCATTTCTCCATTTTATAGTATCTGGATAACTAATGCTATCAAGACTGTTCACTTGTAAGACATCCAAATTACACTTAATACTAATTAAATTAAGTCAGAAAGTTCTTGCAGAACATACAGACTCATGCATATTTGACCAAGCAGTATTAGATGTATTTGCAGTTAGGTAAAGTAAAATATCTTAATCTACATGCACAAGAAAAACCAACAGTTAAAAATGACTTTCAGCTTGATCATTTACAATTTACTAGTAGATTGTCAAATAAAATATCTTTCTTAAATGGAAGGAGAAACTTTCCTTAATCAACCCTTTTAAGGTAGAACACATCACCAAAGGCCTCTCCTTTGTTCTTTTGAGCTATTTAAACATTGTCACCAATAATGATTATTAAAATCATGTTCATCCTTGCAAGGAACTTCCCAAAGTACATTTTATAAGCACTGTCCTGGTTCTGCTGCGAGGCTACTGTGTCCTTAGTAGATATACGGTGCCAAGGCCTCCGCCATGATATTCCTGCTTTGGAGCCACCCAACTAGGGGCTGAAGTCCCCCAAAACATGAGCTAAATTAGACTTTTCCTCCTCCAAGTTGTAGGTGTTGAGTATTGTGTCTCAGCAACAGGGAAGCTAATATGACCTACCCATAGTGCTTTGGGCTGGGAACCAAGCTTTGAACTCATGGACCTTTGGGGGGAGACATCCAAATTACAGAAGCTTGTTTTGTGGTTTGTTGGGAAGGAAAGACAATGCCTATTAATGCAATTAATCATTCTGTGATATTGCCTTCACACAAATCTCATGCCTATAAAATTCACATTCTGTGCTCTACCCCTTGAATCATTTTTAAGCACTTTGGTAGAAAAACAAAAGTAAGGCCTTTAAAAAAAATTTTGGAAGCTAGTATATAAGAAAGTAGGTGAATTTCCAAATTTAAAATGATAGATAAAATGGTAAGAATAGTTGTTAATATTTTTATAACACCTAATGAATATAAGGAACTATGCTGAGTGAGTTATGTATTTTACCTCTAATCCTCAAGACAACCCTTGAGAAAGATACTCTTAGGTTCCTCTAATGACAGGGGAAATGAAACCCTGAGCTAACAGAGTGCCATTCGGTTCATATTTTCAAAGGAATATGAAATTTTTACTCGTGTGGATCTCTATTTTCCTATGGTCAAAGTTTTCTTCTGTTTCAAGCTTCTGCTCTTCCAGGTGCTGGTAACTGACACTGAATCAGCAAAAGCCTTACTCACTTCTGCTCTCCTGGGGTTGCAGCTGAGCCCAGCGGTCTCTGCAGCGCTAGGACACTGTGTGGGAGCCCTGGGGGGAGGGACCCGGCCGCCTCTCCTCAGACGATGATCCCAGCGCGCCCTGAGACAGCGGAGTGATCTGGTCCTCTGCCTCCTGTTGTCACGTGTCTTCACTTGCCTGTGGTAGGCACTGTCACATGCAGTGGCCTCCTGCTGTATCCGTGGCACTCCGTGGCTCACGGGACACGTTTTGCCCTTCCTGAGTGGGCTGAGCCCTGGACAACTGCATGGTCATGATTAGCTCCATGGATCCCAGCCCTTCCGGCCACTTCCCCTCTGTTCCTCCTAGGTCAAGCAAGGCTCCACAACAGCTCTGTGGGTCCTGCCACGTGGGTGAGTGTGATTAGCAGAGGACCCAGGCCACCCCTGTTCCCAGACCCCAGAAACCAGTGCGGGAAATGTGCGTTTTCCCTGAGGTGCAATCCGGGGGACAGAAGGAAAAAACTCTTCCACTCTCCCTGTCTGTTCCACATCTCTTGTCCGGTCTGTGGGTAGTAAAACCCCGGTCTTGTCTTTTCTGATTTTATAAATTTAGTACCAAAGATCAAACTTAACTATTTGAGAATCAAATACCAAGAATTTGACCTTTGTTACCTGCAAACCTCTATGTTGTTCCTTTCAGGCAATGACAGTGGAAAATTCTAGCTGCTTAAGATAGATAAGGTCAAAAGAGAGCAAGGAATTCAAGAGAAGAAAAACTCTGTAATGCCCTGGAGTCTTTTCCTGTCACTGGCTTGGCATTTGCTAACCTGTGAGAATTAGATAAGCAGTACTTACTTACGAGTGTGATGGTGATGATATATATTTTTAAATAAGATTAGAACACTATTTGAACTATGTTCAAGGATTGTTTTAATTTTTTATTCATCCTGCATTGAAAATTCTGAAACATAAATATTCTATCATTTCCCAAGTAAGCTTCTTACGTAGCTACCAGAGTGACAGCAATGCCGGCAGTTCGATGTGGAAGTCAGGCATTCTCATTTCAGAATGTACCATTAAAGTTGGCAGTTTGGCCCTCTTATGGTTAAAAGCACACGGGGAAGAAATCTATGTATTGATATATAATCATAAGTTATATGTCCGAAAATTATTAGTTTTCTATTTATTACTCTCAAAATCGTGTCCGCTGCAGAAACATCGGCTTTTCTAAAACTACAGAGCTGGTTTTACTTCAGATTCACTGATCTCTGCTCGTCCGGCAATGCTGAGAGCCGGACAGCGCAGTGGCAGGCTCCTGTCGTACAGCTGCAAAGGAAGCTGGCGCAGGTGGATGAGTCCTGCAGTTCCGAGACAGGCTGGCAACACAGCAGGACCCCGTGTCTAAAGAACGGAAACAAAAAT